CACACACACACACACACACACACACACACACACACACACACACACACACACACACACACATCCACAAATGAAGGGAAATCATGTTACCAAGCATAAAAATTTCCCACCTGCTGAAGTTGGTTCCTCACCATCTGCTGCTGTTGAGACACAGAGGAGGAGAAGAGGGAGGAGGGGAAGAGAGAAAAATAAAATTAGCTTTATCACAACTATGTCACAGTATTCAGTGATTCAGCTGCATGCAACGCTGCTGATTCAACTATATTATTAATTGCACCGTGCACTGCCATATGTGCATTAACATCTCACATGAAATCCAAGGGAGCATTCAGAATGTAAAGCCAGAGACGCCTGCTACCTGTAGGGTAAAACATCCTGCCAAGAGAACTACTCCACACTGCCACCATGAAGTGTACACCGTGCCATAGCCCATCCCCCATTTATACACTTCCACACTGCTATATGTCCTGGTCGGTGGCCTTTGACTAATATGTGTTCATCATTCTGGACCAGTGTAGGATTAGCCCCTGCGGCATTCATACGTGTTTACTGCATCCCTGGCTCCTAAATCCCAGTCCAGCTCCATGGCTGAGATCTTGCCTGTCTGCCACCATTACCACAGCCCTCCATCTCCATCACCACTCGTAAAATTGCTCTGAAAATGCGCCTGATGGCTGGACACAGCTACAGAGGCAAAAGACCAAGGGCGTCAGATTCATGGGATGACAAATAACATTTGCTATTGTTGTTGGGGATGATCAGAGATGTGTTACAGGATGAACCAATTCCCTTGGATCGGTTTGTTGGATGGATGGATGGATGGATGAACATGAATGTATTGGGATTTGGGGCTGTTTTCAGTCACTAATGATACTGCCTACCAATGAGCATGCTAGATTAATTAAAATATGATTCAATGTCATGTACATTTTTCAATTCACAGTGCTGCATACTAATGAGGTATTAGCATATGGAGAGGGCTAACGCCGCATAGATCACAATGCGGGCAGGGAGTCATATATGGATGTCAGCATTGCATGCAGCTGCAAATGCCTTCAAATCCATCTTAGAAAACCAATCAAGTCAACACGTCCAATCATATCAATGAGAAACATGCAGAGAGTACATTTTTCTCCTCTCCACAAACCAAACATCAGTGCTCCGTCACGTCTGCATTCCCTGCGGTGTCTTTAGGTGTGAAAATAAAAATCACTTCACAAAGTGCTCTCAGAGGTTTTTAAGAAACTTTTATATTGCCAATCTAATTTAATGTGGTACCGTATTTCTGGGGGGGGGGGGGCTGTATTCTGTGTATAAATGTCGAGCAAGACAAGCTGAACTGACTGTTTTGAAAAACTTAAGAGACCTCTGGAACAAATTATTTCAACTCAGACAGCAGCCATGAATCTTTCCCCAGCAGCGGCAAACTGAGGGGTGAAATAGACTCACTTAGACATCCCTGTGATAAACAGAGAGAATTAAAGAGTGAACCGCAGCCTTTAACACTTCTTTAACTGTAAGAGAAAGCTCAAATTGAAGTCACAAGGAGCCAAAGCCAAGCACTTTCCCAACCTCTCATCTGTCTGGCAGAAGATGCTCCCCTTTGTGTTTTCCCATGCACATGGGCCACTGTAATCCCAAAACCAAGCACATTCCACGCTTCACTTAGAGCGGTTTTCTTTCTGCTATTTCCTCTCTTCTCTTACCATAGGGGTCAAGACACACACATGCAAGTCCACAGACACATTGTGCATATAGTGCACACAATTACACACTCGCAAAGAAAAGGAAAAACATGCCTCCGAGTGCAGACAGCTATTCACACCCACACATAAATACACACGCTGAGAAAATATAGACATATAAAAAGGTTTTTATGTGTTGCACGTGTTGATGTGGTGAATCATAATAGTGCATAAAATACGAAGCTTTAGTTGTATAAGACACAGGGCTGGCTAAATGTATGTCTTCAATTGTTGGTGTTCCCTAAGATGAGTTAAAACAACCCCTGTGAGTCACATCACTTGAGTTATTTCCAATGGAAATGAACATCACCATTTATCTATTGTTGTCTAGTCTGTAGACAACAATGTAGACAGTGAGTATAGGCCTGCCGCATATCTCACGCCGCATTCTCCTCCCGTTCCGCGATCTCCGCTATCTAATTTGCAAGAGCACCATTGCTGCATCCTGTGCTGCGCACGGCCCAAGACGACTGTGAGGTTTAAAGAAAGACAACCAAGCGCTGACACAGCGCTAAAGACAGGTCTGACTATGCGAGACTAATTGCTGTCTGACAAGATAAGATGTACTTCCCATAAGATAAGAAAAGGGTTTGCCTCTACTGAAATAGTGAAACAGCACAATTGTAAGTTCACTATAGTTGGTCAATTGTAAATGCCAGGCGGTTGTACACACACTACAGACAAAACTGTCTTAATCTCACATACATGTGATGTTTAGGCAAATGAGGGGCGTTAGCTTGCCTTGGGGATACACTTAAAATAACACGTTTATATTTCCTGACAATGTGCTGTCCTCAATAAGCAGCAAAAGCATTGATAATGTGACAGTATTATATAGTAGAACCTCTTAAGGAGGAAGTCGGGACGGTTGGTTGGGTTAACAAGGTGTGATTCTGAAACATGTGAGCATGGTTCAGGCCCCATCTTGTACCAACAGCCAATGTTGATTTATCTTGACCCCAACAGCGTTGTTTTCCTGACCTTATCCAACACATAATCTTATCCAGGTATTAACCATAGAGCAGGCATGTGTAGTTTGTGAAATGGCTGTATGGGTTGTTTTAGAATTGGGTATTCTAAAGGTGCGTGTAGCAGTGCCATTATTTATTTTCTTTTATCTTATTATTGTATCTATTCATGTAAATATCAATCTACCATGCCTTCCAGAAAGGATGCAAAGAGAATGCTGTTCAGGGAATCAATAAAGGGCTTCACAAACTGGTATTGAACAATTACTTGTCTGTCTCATCCTGCTGTTGACGGCACACACATCTGGTGGAAATACTTGCAAAGCCTCCGAAAAAAAAGACACCACATAACATACTACTAGGATAGTAGGTACGCTTAAAAGAAAAAAGCCAAAGAGAAAAAAGACAATTGTTTTAGTCATATCCTGGCAACATGTGCCTTTCTTTTTAGAAATGAAATGATTTTGTTCATATTATCCTGCAAATATAACATCTTTCAATTTCCCATAAAAGGTGGTTCAACTCATTTCCCATAAAGGTGTCCGTCAAAGCCAAACCAACATATTTCCCTCAGCAGAAGGGCTGTAAACAGATCTATAGTGAATCTAGAGACAATCATGATTTATGACTGGGTGTGCTTACTTCATATTCTATTTTAAAATGTGCTGTGGTACAAACAGTTAAGCAGTCAGTTCAGTTTAATGTCTATCATCAACAAGTAGCGAAAACCAAACACAACCTGCACATTTGAGCTGTAAGCATACATACTATCAAACAATGTACGTTAACTTTCTCCATTATTCAGCAACACAACTATTAAAACTACAAATTACTTTCTATAATCAATGTAATGTGTTACATGGGAATACTACAGGCCTATATGTATGTTTTCTTGTATTTGTTCATACATTTGACAAATTAATACATTTGTAAAACATGGAGGGCTCTGGAGATGGCTTATTTTAAATGGCACCTCCTCCTTCCCAGGAGAAGGTTCTCTCTGTTGGACATATTGGTTTAATCTGAATGACAGCCGGGAGGAAGTAATAACCATCCATAATCTAAATGGGAACCAGCCAGCCTGTCCAGCATAGGGCTGCTGTGACCTCAAGGTGTTCAGTGGAGATATAGGGGCCAGTGCACAGGATGAACAAGTACAAAAACCACTACAAAACACCCACATAGTATACACACACATAGACATACATACATACAAAAGTAGGATACATATGCACATATAAAACACACAAATTAAGGTGTTTACATATATAGATGCAACAGGACAGGTTTGGGTTGTGGGTAATGTGATGTAATATTTCCTTCCATTCATCATTAGCAACAGTTTTGACTTTGTTTCTACAATGTGGCTGACTGGGCATGCCCTTCAACAGCAATGACCTATTTACATGCACACACACACCATCCAATCACACTTTATAAATTACTAAAAATCAATAACATAATATGGCTCAATGGTAGCCTACATTTAATAACAAACACATTGACCAGTACATCTAATAATCTGCTTTTCCTCCCCAATAGTGATGTTGGGCTTAATTTATTCTATTTCTATATTTCTATTAATCTAAACCTAAGAATGTAATGTATTAGACCCTGCATAGACTATTTGTATCAGCCACAGTGAACTTAAAATGTTTGTGCGACCCCATTCTATTTATCGGTTGTACTTAGCTCCTCCCATTTACGGTCCAAAAAAACCAAGATGGCAACAGCTGAAATGCTGAACTCCAGGCTTAAAAACCTTAGTCCACAAACCACTGGGTGATGTCACGGGGACTATGTCGACTTCTTATCTACAGTCTATGGTTGTCTTCTGAGACATAAGGTGACACAGACCTGCAAAAGTGTTTTACTGTGCATCAAACAGGAATCATGTAGTTCTAATTTATATCAACAGTAACCACCTCACTGTGAAGATCAGGAGGTGTATTAAGGAAGCAAACAAGTCATCAATACTCAAGCCACCATGTTATATGCAGCTATATAAGAACCTTTATATAGTTACTTTTACCAACAGCCTAGTACAGTAAGGGCTATGTGCTCAGATGTTGGAATAAAGACTGCAGGGTTAGCAGTTAAGTCTGGCTTAACAGAAATCCCTCCACTTAATTAAGGTGGATCAGCAGGGCATAGATCATAGCTGGTGATTAAGGACAGATTTGCTCTAGTAGCTTCTAACATTTTCAATTTCAAATCCGTACATCTTAAAAAGAATGACAGCAAAATGAGAAAATAAAGAGTTGTACTCTTGGTATGTCATGTCACATGTGTGCTTTAATATGGCGTTGGCCTTACCAATGATTTGGAGATGTATAGAGTTGATGCGATGTGTTTCTATAAGGTGTCAAGAGGAAAGTGGTAGACTTGAAGTGAATGAGAGTGTGAAATGCATTTGGATCACCTCTG